TGCTGCAATGAACATTCGTGTGCATATGTCCTTATAGTAGAACAATTTATAGTCCTGGGGATATATACCCAGTAATGGGATTGCTGGGTCAAATGGAATTTCTATTTCTAGGTCCTTGAGGAATTGCCACACTGTCTTCCACAATGGTTGAACTAATTTACACTCCCACCAGCAGTGTAAAAGTGTTCCTATTTCTCCACATCCTCTCCAGCATCTGTTGTCTTCATATTTTTTAATGATCTTCATTCTAACTGGCGTGAGATGGTATCTCAATGTAGTTTTGATTTGCATTTCTCTGATGACCTGTGATGATAAGCATTTTTTCATATGTTTGTTGGCCTCATGTATGTCTTCTTTTGTAAAGTGTCTGTTCATATCCTTTGCCCATTTTTGAATGGGCTTGTTTGTTTTTTTCTTGTAAATCTGTTTGAGTTCTTTGTAGATTCTGGATATCAGCCCTTTGTCAGATGGGTAAACTGCAAAATTTTTTTCCCATTCTGTTGGCTGCCGATTCACTCTAGTGACTGTTTCTTTTGCCGTGCAGAAGCTGTGGAGTTTGATTAGGTCTCATTTGTCTATTTTGGCTTTTGTTGCCAATGCTTTTGGTGTTTTGGTCATGAAGTCCTTGCCTACTCCTATGTCCTGAATGGTTTTGCCTAGATTTCCTTCCAGGGTTTTTATGGTGCCAGGTCTTCTGTTTAAGTCTTTAATCCATCTGGAGTTAATTTTAGTGTAAGGTGTCAGGAAAAGGTCCAGTTTCTGCTTTCTGCATATGGCTAGCCAGTTTTCCCAACACCATTTATTAAACAGGGAATCCTTTCCTCATTGTTTGTTTTTGTCAGGTTTATCAAAGATTGTATGGTTGTAGATATGTTGTGTTGCCTCCGATGCCTCTGTTCTGTTCCATTGGTCTATATCTCTGTTTTGGTACCAGTACCATGCTGTTTTGATTACTGTAGCCTTGTAGTATAGTTTGAAGTCTGGTAGTGTGATGCCTCCCGCTGTGCTCTTTTTGCTTAGAATTGACTTGGTTATGTGGGCTCTCTTTTGGTTCCATATGAAGTTCAAGGTGATATTTTCCAGTTCTGTGAAGAAAGTCAATGGTAGCTTGATGGGGATAGTGTTGATTCTGTAAATTACTTTGGGCAGTATGGCCATTTTCAAAATATTGATTCTTTGTAACCATGAACATGGAATATTTCTCCATCTGTTTGTGTCCTCTCTTATTTCATTGAGCAGTGGTTTGTAGTTATCCTTGAAGAGGTCCCTTACATTCCTTGTTAGTTGTATTCCTAGGTATTTTATTCTCTTTGTAGCAATTGTGAATGGCAGTTCATTCTTGATTTGGCTCTCTTTAAGACTGTTATTCGTGTATAGGAATGCTTGTGATTTTTTGCACTTTGATTTTATATCCTGAGACTTTGTTGAAGTTGCTTATCAGTTTCACGAGTTTTGGGGCTGAGACGATGGGGTCTTCTAGATATACTATCATGTTGTCTGCCAATAGAGACAAGTTGGCTTCCTCCTTTCCTATTTGAATACCCTTTATTTCTTTTTCTTGCCTGATTGCTCTGGCTAGAACTTCCAATACTATATTGAGTGGTGAGAGAGGGCATCCTTGTCTAGTGCCAGATTTCAAAGGGAATCCTTCCAGTTTTTGCCCCTTCAGTATGATATTGGCTGTTGGTTTGTCGTAAATAGCTTTTATTATTTTGAGATACGTTCCATCAATACCGAGTTTAATGAGGGTTTTTAGCATAAAGGGCTGTTGGATTTTGTCAAAGGTCTTCTATGCGTCAATTGAGATAATCATGTAGTTTTTGGTTTTGGTTCTGTTTATGTGGTGAATTACATTTATAGACCTGCGTATGTTGAACCAGCCTGGCATTTATTTATTTTTAATGTTTTATTTGGTTATATATTCTCAAAGCTCAGTAAACTATAAACTGACACACAATAGAAAATCAATAAATGTAAATAAATAAACTAATAATAACCTAAAATGGAAAAATTGATTTTTGTAATTAGACCACTCAATTGCCTATATGGTGTTTTAGCATTTAGGCCATTATCTGTAATCTGTAAGCCTCCTCTCATTTTCAATAGGAAAAACCATAGTTTATTCTTAGAATCATCTTTAAACTTAAAACTAAAATCAGATCAGGTGTATATATTAACATTCCTTTTTTCTATAATATAATCCAGTGTATAAGATAATTAAGATGAATATATATATGTTAAAATATCTTGTATATAATAAAAACATGTAATTGTATCTCAATTTAAAATAAACTAAAATAAATATATATAAGATAAAAAATTACATACAAAGAGAATATATAAAAATTCACTCTGCTGTGCCTTTGAATATACTCTATTTCAAAACTTGCTCTTTAGATTTGAGATTTGTTTTATATTGTCATGGATTTTCTCTGCTCAAAGAGTAAAGAAAGTAAATTATTTTCTCCCTAATGAATGTATAAATTAAACTGGCTCCAAATGATATCAAAGTTTGTTTACATTTTTGTTTTATCTTGTTTTGCTTCATTTTTCTGCTTTATGTTTAATCTCTCTTCTCTAGCTAGTACTTGCCTCAAGAAAAGCCAAAAGAATTTTTCTGGTCAGTATCCATTCTGCATCAACAGATTTAAGGTCTAGTTCTGTGTCAATACTCAAATTGTGACTTCTTGACAAGCTACCTTATAACGTAGCAAAAGCCTGTTTCTATTTGGTCCTCAGATTCATTTCTTTTTATCTCAGTCAATTCATCAATGAGAACTAGTTTGGAGTAAGAGGAATCTGCTAATTTTCTAGCATCCAGCATCCAGCTTCATGAATTCAGAATTGTATCTTGAAAATAATAAGGATATTTAAAAACATGTGAATTGACTGTTGATCAACTTTCTCATCTACTTTTTAGCAACATGTTTTATATTCTGCATAATATCAAAGAGCTACTAAGCATGGGTGTTTTGGTAGTCTGGCACCACAAGAGAAAAGTTGGAGCTCACTCTGAAAGATTATTTACCCAAGTGAAATAGTAAAGAGAAGCAGGAAGAGATAGATAGATGATAGATATAAATAGAGATCATAGATAGATAGAACCATGATAGCTATCCACCTGCCAGATGTTCCATAAACAACAAATAAATCAATAATGATTAGTATCTGTAGAGCAGTAATATGTTTGTTTGCAACAATCTTTATAAAAATCTGAAGATGAGCATATATGAAAACAATCAAAATGTGCTAATTCTCTGTAGGCACTCAATTTTTCAGAAGCTGCCAAAGTAGTATTTGTCAAACTTTGTTAATATGAACTAGTTATTGATAGAATGTGTTCATGATGTGTATTTTGTTCTGTAATAAGGTGTCTGGCAAGTACCAGACTGTAGCAAATATTTTTATTCCCTCAATCTATGTTTCAAATCCCTTGTTTTAATTTGAAACTTCAAATATTGTTTCTCACTAAAATTACGTGGTTTTAAATTCATGATTTATAAATAATTTTTAAAATAGTATTAGCTGAGGAATGATATTTGCTGTCTTCATGGAGAAGTGCTGGTATACAGCATAAGCAATGTTCTTGTCTAAGGAGTTCATTTTTAAAAGGTTCCACATTACCCCGAAGGAGATACTATTTTTCGAACTTCCTTTGTGCTCTAAATCTCTCTCCTTAACTAATTTTCAATCTGTCTATTAGGCTAACTTCTGAATTTCCTGGAGAATAAGCCCCGAGTGCAGCTGATGAGTTCCTTTGCACTACTTTTAGAGGTAGCATCATTTTAGTTTACGCCATTTGTGAGGGACGTGGTATTAAGATACAGAAATGGGGCTGGGCGCGGTGGCTCACGCCTGTAATCCCAGCACTTTTGGAGGCTGAGGCGGGTGGATCATGAGGTCAAGAGATCGAGACCATCCTGGTCAACATGGTGAAACCCCGTCTCTGCTAAAAATACAAAAAATTAGCTGGGCATGGTGGTGCGTGCCTGTAATCCCAGCTACTCAGGAGGCTGAGGCAGGAGAATTGCCTGAACCCAGGAGGCGGAGGTTGTGGTGAGCCGAGATCGCGCCATTGCACTCCAGCCTGGGTAACAAGAGTGAAACTCCGTCTCAAAAAAAAAAATAAATAAATAAAAGGCAGAAATGGTGCTAGAATCCCTCACTTTGGCTCTTGCCTTCTTATGGTGATGGTCTTTGTCAGGATATAAACAATCTGAATGCCGAGACTTAGATATTTATCAAAAATCTCTGCTCCTTTTCAGTATTTGTCACAGACTGACTTTTAACCTGACTGACAAAATACCAGATCTTCTACTGCCGCGTTTCTCACTGATTTCTTTCCATTCTGGCCAATTTCTGGTAGCTTAATTCTTTTCTGCTGCTGAGAAAAGAGTTTCCTTCCAAGGCTTCACCTTGATATTTGTGCCTGAAAACTTTGCCCTTTTGTCTAGGCACACTCAGTGTCACTCTGTGATATGATAAAGGAGCAGAACACTAAAAACTAAAAATATTCAGGAAAATGGAGAATACAACTTTACAATAATTACATATAGAGAAAGATAACTAAAAGTTTTATCTCATCTGTATCTAAGAACCATTAGAAAATTTATACAGTGTATGGCTCAAAACAATATGGGGAATTATCATAACAGATTAATAATACCCCTACATATTTATTTTAGTTTATATAGTTCATAAATATGACATTCTTAATATCTGATTTTCTCATTATTTGTATCCTTCTTTCGAATGGAAGCTTCATGAATGTAGAGACTATTTTCCTTCCTGCTGAACTCAACAAACCCACAGCTGCGCTTGGTACACAGTAGGCACTAAATGTCTGTTTAATTCATAAATAAAGAGAAATACATGATTCACCTAAAGCATATTTTTATTTGACTTTTATATGAGCTAACACATCTGACTTTGTCAATTTCTTCTAGGAAGTGAACTGTGTCTTTCTGTCTGTAACAGTAACAGTTAAAGTTGCTGAGATCATGGTGAGAAGTAACCAAAATACTACAGTAACAGAGTTTCTCTTCTCTGGATTCCCACAGTTTGAAGATGGTAGCCTCCTCGTCTTTATTCCATTGTTTGTTATCTATATATTTATTGTCATTGGGAATCTTATTGTGTTTTTTGCAATCAGGATTGATACCCGTCTCCACAACCCCATGTATAATTTTATCGGCATTTTCTCATTTCTGGAGATCTGGTATACAACTTCCACAATTCCCAAGATGCTCTCCAACCTTATCAGTAGGCAGAGGACCATCTCCATGATTGGCTGCCTCTTGCAAATGTACTTCTTCCATTCACTGGGAAATTCAGAGGGGATTTTGTTGACCACTATGGCCATTGACAGGTACGTTGCTATCTGTAATCCTCTCCGCTACCCAACCATCATGACCCCCAGGCTCTGTGCTCAGCTCTCTGCAGGGTCCTGCATCTTTGGCTTTCTTGTGTTGCTCCCAGAGATTGTATGGATTTCCACACTGCCCTTCTGTGGACCCAACCAAATCCACCAGATCTTCTGTGATTTTGAACCTGTGCTGCGCTTGGCCTGTACAGACACGTCCATGATTCTGATTGAGGATGTGATTCATGCTGTGGCCATCGTATTCTCTGTCCTGATTATTGCCCTCTCTTATATCAGAATCATCACTGTGATCATGAGAATTTCCTCTGTTGAAGGCCGCCAGAAGGCCTTTTCTACCTGTGCAGCCCATCTTGGTGTCTTTCTGATGTTCTATGGCAGTGTATCCCTCATGTACCTCCGTTTCTCTGCCACTTTCCCACCGATTTTGGACACAGCTATTGCAGTGATGTTTGCAGTTCTCGCTCCCTTTTTCAACCCTATTATCTATAGCTTTAGAAATAAGGACATGAAGATTGCAATTAAGAAGCTTTTCTGCCCTCGGAAGATGTTTAATTTATCTGCAGATTAATGCTAGATCATAGGCATCTTTCACTGTGGATGTTACTCTCACACAATAAACCATATAATTAATATATAATCCATTCATTGTCACACTGATACGTTGTATCTCCTTATCCTCATTCTTCCCATGTACATGTATATCCTGCTTATGCATGCTAAATTAAGATAGCATGGGCCTATGTAGATTTATACAGATGGATAAACTATATAAAGGAAATATGATGTTTAAGCCATTAAACATAATTATTGTATTTTATGAACATTAATTTACTACTTGTATATAAACTTTTAATGTAAATGCTTATTGTAGTGCATAAGCATTAATAACAACTATGAATTATAAACCATGGTAGTTAAAAGAATCAGCTCCATGGAAGAGGTTAAGTTTTGTATTTCAGTGATGCCACATACTAGCCTTGTGACCTTGAACAAGTTGTTAAGTAAGTTGTCTGCACCTTAGATTTATCATCTATTAGTATAAAAGTAATATTTTAAAAGTAGGACTTCAAATGCTAATATGAATAATAAATGAGTTACTCTGTGCAAGTGCTTAGAATATGCATAACACTGAGCATGTACAAAATAAGCGTTCTCTGTTGATGTCCTTTGCAACTAATTACTATCATTTGTTATTGATGTTTTAAAGAATGCTTTAGTAAAGAGTAATGTATTAAAAACAAAAACTCATACTCAGGAATACTTAGCTTGATTATTATTTATAGTATATTTGTTGTTATTATTTCTCTGGAGCCAAGTTGAATTCAACCTTCATTTACTTTGACCGCTGTGGTTGAATTCATCCAACTTGGTTGAATAAAATTATTTGGTTAAAAGTAGTCTCCAGCACATTCTAAAGTGATCAACAGAGTAAAATAACAGATAATATTAAAGAAAACTATTTCTAAGCTTGAGAATGCTTGAGTCATGGGATCAAATCAGATTGTTTTTGATTATGCAAAATCACTGGAAATAGAATCTGGCCTGTTGACATTTTTGGAATTAAAAAATAAGAACTACAAGTTAGATAACCAAAATAGATTCCCAAATCATAAGAAGAAAAGTTAGACAAAACTCAGAAAGTATGTCTTCCTATTTGAGAACTTAATACATATTTCCAGAAGAAGGTGACATAATAAAAGCAATTAACTTTGAAAAGAAAAGAACTTTGAGTTATCGACAGATCAGTGGATCAAGCACATGATATAAATAATGCTCTTGTGGAAGAAGATGAGATATCGATCGTCAATAGAGAAGTCAACAGAACCAGTGTGAGTTGTTCAAGGGAGGAAAGAGCCATACACACTCATGGCATGAAGCAAACAGACAAAAAGACGTGGTTTCCTCACTTTCTTCAGTATTGGCACTAACTCCCCAGTGACATGTTTATTTGAAATGGCCTTATTTTCTGTAAAATAGCTTTTCAAGATGATCTTCTGGTGTCAGTATATTCTCTTCGGCTTTCCAAATCTTTGTGTTCATGTAAGAAGGGCAGGACCATGTCAAAACTGCCCTTTGCATAGTGCACTGGTAGTGTTGAGTGCACTGGTAGTGTGAGCTTCTTTCTCCAGCACTTTCATCATGGTCTCAAGAAAAGTTGAGACCATGATGAAAGTGCTGGAGAAAGAAGCTCACAAATTTGGGAAGATGAATACAATCGGGAAAAGTGTATATTGATTGACAGCGTTGATCTGAAAATCTAACAACGCATGAGTAAGAGGGGAAACGTTCTGTTAATTAACCCCATGAGAGAAGGTGATCAACTTCAGTGCAGTGCAGGGGAAGAATCCCCCACAGAGCCCCATTCCCCATCCTGTTATTCTCTAGGATGCTCTATGGAGAGACTATAAATCCCTTTTTGAAGAGGCTGAAGTAATATCAAGGATGCAGGGACTCAGACAGACTGAGGAGTCCCTGTGTTTTTTGGCAAAGGTGAGTGTAGATGACCAAGTCATGAAGAGAATGAATTCACCTGCTATGCATACTAATAATAATAATAAATCTCATAACCTACAGACTTCATTATTAAAGAATTTAGAACATCGAATAAGGGTGGAAGGCAAAGGCATTTATAGGAGGAAATTCTACTCAGTGTGGGCCTGGGCGTGGGTATATATGAGACAGCATGCCACATTTATGATGCCATTTTCTGAGAGATCATCTAGTCAAGGCTTGATTGCGGCTCTCGTTAGAACTGAATTGTTATACTTCGCTTTCAAACCGTCCTCAGTTTTCTTAGTTCACATACTCATGGCCGTCTTGTGCATTTAATTATAATTGTACCAAATGGCTGAGTTCCAAGTTCATTTATTTAATCCCTACCATCTCTACCTACCAACCCCGTTGTAGTCACTATGAGGGATAAAAAACATTCACATCCCCGAAGGAGAAACTCACAGTCTAGAGAAGGTAAAACAGGTAAGTTGATGATGGAGGCTGATGAATGCTTCAATACAGCATAATGGCACTCAACACTTCCAAGTGTTCCCTATATTCCTGCCACGAAGGTTTTAAAATACATTTATACCTGTTGCTAGAGGTAGTCAATCTAGAGGTAGGTCACAGTGTGTCTCTAGAGATTCAGCACGTAAATTTAAATTCTGACTTCACCCTTCATTAGCTGAGAATTTCTAGACAAAGAACTTAACCTGTCTATGCCTAAGTTTTCTCATCTGTAAAATGGGGATAATAATTTCACCTCATAAGAGCATTAAGAACATGAGACAAAAAAATATATATAATGTGCTTGGAATCATCCCAGCCTTAGTGAGGCAATAATACCATCTACTATACTATACAACTCTATTGTTATTATAAAATGTTTAGTCATTCTCAGGACCTCATTAACTAATATTAATATGTTCTCAGTTTTAAAAATGAGATATTAAAGTCATAGAGAGGCTGAGTAACTTCATATTAAGTCACAGAGCTGGCAAGCCGTAAAGAGGATTTAAATGCTAGCAATTTTTTTCTGGCATCTAGACTTTTAGCCAGCAGTATATATTGCTTCTGTGTGAGAAGAGGGGGCAGAGGAGGGAGAGGTATGTTACTTTAAAGTCAGAGGAAGTAGCACAAACTGGAGGGAACTGCGATTTTAGAAAGAAAGGTGAACAATGGGATTGCAGGCAAGAGAGGAGTGGGAGAATGTCAGCAGGTGAAGCTACAGAGAATTTAGAGTCAGATAGTTGGTGTGAAGCTTATAAAAGAGAGATTGGTTAGAGAAAAACATTTAGAAGTATTAATAGTTTGAATCCTGTAAGAGATTGAGATCACTAAGAGAGCCTATAGAACTGTAAGGTGGGAGTGGATGATAGAAACCTGGGAAAAACAAATTCTTGGGAGAGTTTAAGAAAAACAACACAAATTAATATAAGACAGAAGAGGCAGAATAATAAAGAAAATACAAATGCAAATAAATAAAATAGGAGCAAAAGTCAAAGCTAGAACTGCATTTGAAGCTGTCTGGGAGTCACTCCCCTTACTAATGGAGTCATAGAAACAGAGGATCAAAGTCTCAAACAGGAGTAAAGTGTCAAGTGCCAGAGACGACTGGATAGTTTCCATTAGCAATTAGCAGGGCACTGTTGAACGTGATCAGAATAGTATCAGCTTAATGCTCGGGAGGAAGCTCACAGCAGCATTAAAGGACAATGAGAAATGCAGTGAGGTAATTGTATCACTCCAGAAGTTGCCTGTCAAACACTGTTCCAATCTGTCTGCAGGTATTTACTAAATCCTACAGCATCCTTGTTAGATAAGTACTATTTTTGATCCCTTTTTGCAAATGAATACTTGAGACTCTGAGACGTTAAGTAATTTTCCAAAAGACGTATAGGTAGTAATAGACTTAGGATTTCAATGTCAATTTCAGGTTTACATTCTAACACCCTAGAAAAGAGATTTTCAAAGAGCATGTGCACGACGGCCCAGTCGGGTTGGGAAAGGGCATAATATAACTTCTATTATGTTTATTTATATTCATACTTTTTAATTTTACAATTTATTATATAAGATATATATATATAGTATGCCATAATATAGTAAATTTGTATAACTTATAAATGCAGATACTTGTATTAGAGATTAAGCTAAAAATAATTTTAGCTAGTTTTTTTTTACTATTAAAACATTTGGAGATGCCTATTTCTGCAGTTGTGCCTCTCTCTGGAGGAGTAAGTATGAAAAAGATCAAATATTGCACAATATGTACAGTAGTTTAGAGTCAGAAAAAAATGGAACCTTCAAGTAGTTCTTTTTATTCCTCAAAGTTGTTTACCTGTACATCTTATTTATTTTTTTCTCCACCTCCTCATGAGCTGGACTATGCCCTCTCCTTCATTCACCTTTACTAGAAATATGGAGAGCAGAAACCAATCAACAGTGACTGAATTTATCTTCACTGGGTTCCCTCAGCTTCAGGATGGTAGTCTCCTGTACTTCTTTCCTTTACTTTTAATCTATGCTTTTATTATCATTGGTAACTTATTAATTTTTTCTGCTGTAAGGCTGAACACCCATCTCCACAACCCCATGTATAATTTTATTAGTATATTTTCCTTTCTGGAGATCTGGTACACCACAGCCATCATTCCCAAGATGCTCTCCAACCTCATCAGTGAAAAGAAGGCCATCTGTGTGACTGGCTGCCTCTTGCAGATGTATTTCTTCCACTCACTTGGAAATTCAGAGGGAATCTTGCTGACCACCATGGCCATTGACAGATATGTTGCCATCTGTAGCCCTCTTCGCTATCATATGATCATGACCCCCCGGCTCTGTGCTCAGCTCTCTGCAGGTTCCTGTATCTTTGGTTTCCTTATCCTGCTTCCGGAGATTGTGATAATTTCCACACTGCCTTTCTGTGGGCCCAACCAAATCCATCAGATCTTCTGTGACTTGGTCCCTGTGCTGAGCCTGGCCTGTACAGACACGTCCATGATTCTGATTGAGGATGTGATCCATGCTGTGACCATCATCATTACCGGTCTAATCATTGCCCTGTCCTATATAAGAATTGTCACTGTGATACTGAGGATTCCCTCTTCTGAAGGGAGGCAAAAGGCTTTTTCTACCTGTGCAGGCCACCTCATGGTCTTCCTGATATTCTTTGGTAGTGTATCACTCATGTACTTGCGTTTCAGTGACACTTATCCACCAGTTTTGGACACAGCCATTGCACTGATGTTTACTGTACTTGCTCCATTCTTCAATCCCATCATTTATAGCCTGAGAAACAAGGACATGAAGAATGCAATTAAAAAACTGCTCTGTCTTCAAAAAGTGTTGGCCAAGTCTGGCAAGTCTGGAGGTTAATTCAGAGCCACAGGTTCCCTTCCATTGTTTTTTTTTTTCCTTTTTTTTGAGATGGAGTTTCACTGTTATTGACCAAGCTAGAGTGCAATGGCACGATCTTGGCTCATGATTTCGGCTCACTGCCACCCCTCCATCTCCTGGATTCAAATGATTCTCCTGCCTCAGCCTCCCTAGTAGCTGGGAGGCATGCACCACTACCCCCAGCTAATTTTTGTATTATTAGTAGAGATGGAGTTTCACCGTGTTGGTCGGGTTGGTCTCGAATTCCTGATTGTAAGTGATCTGCCCACCTCGGCCTCCCAAAGTGCTGGGATTACAGGTGTAAGCCACTGCACCCAGCTCTTTCCATGGCGTTAATGTTTGTCTAACAGATTAGAACATGAGATTACACTATACCTAGTGCTTTGTCACACTGTTCTCCTCATTATTTTCCCTCTACCTAGAAAACATATTTATACATTCCGATATAAAAACTTGCTGTGCATATCATTAGGAACCGCATTATGTGGCTTAATAACTGTAGTTTCTTTCTTCTGAAGTGCTGTGATTAAAGAAAATTTGTTTGCCACTTTAGATGGTTAGAATTATAGAGTTCGCTTATATACCCAGTAATGGGATTGCTGGGTCAAATGGAATTTCTATTTCTAGGTCCTTGAGGACTTGCCACACTGTCTTCCACAATGGTTGAACTAATTTACACTCTCTGGGAAAATGTGGCACATATACATCATGGAATATTATGCAGCAATCAAAAATGATGAGTTCGTGTCCTTTGTAGGGACATGGATGAATCTGGAGAACATCATTCTCAGCAAACTGACACAAGAACAGAAAATGAAACACCACATATTCTCAGTCATAGGTGGGTGATGAACAATGAGAACACATGGACACAGGGAAGGGAGTACTACACACTGGGGTCTATTGGGGGGAATAGGGGAGGGACAGCAGTGGGGGGAGCTGGGGAGGGATAGCATGGGGAGAAATGCTAAATGTGGGTGAAGGGGCGGAAGGCAGCAAAACACACTGCCATGTGTGTACCTATGCAACTATCTTACATGTTCTGCACATGTACCCCAAAACCTAAAACACAATAAAAAAAAAGAATTATAGAGTTTGCACTTTATAAGCTGACAATGTACTCTGAGTTATTATGTCTTTATATAGGTAACAGATCTTAGAAAAGATTTTTTGGGGTTAATTATGAATCATGGATTACCTGATTGGGTATTTCCAAAAGTAGAGATCTAAGAAAAAGCCAAAGCAATATTTAATTAAGTTATATCTTTATTTTTAGTTATGTGGTTACCTATTCATTAAAATAATAAGCACACATGTTGAGTAAGATTAGATTATTAGTACTGCAACATATGTTTAAAAGAAAACTACAATATAGGATACTATATACAGCAATATGCTTTGATATCCACAAATATCGATTTTAGTTACTGTTTGCCCTTTCTAGGGTGAAGCATCTTCACTTTCTTTATTTACAGTAAAAACAGTTTCTGGTGTACTCATTCAATGGTACTTTCAAAAACACATGTGATTCATTTAACTTTTTGACTAATAACTTTAAAAACTTTCCCCTTCCTTCCATATCATCTAACATTACCTTAATTTAATTTTCTATAATTATTTGTGCACAATTATTGTAATTGTCTTTAATACATACAAGTAAAATTTTGAAATGAATATAGTGATTGTAACTCACATTTAAATTTTCTTCTTTAACAAGTCCAATAAAATGACCAAAGCCTAGATCATATTAGCTTCTTAAAGGCTTTAAGCCTAGGAATATTAATAACGATTCTCATTTCTTATGGAATGGTCCAGCCGTGGTCATGTCGACATGTGAACACAAACATATAAAACATAAAACAACCCTTTCCAAAATATATCACATTGCTTCCACTAAGAAAACCCTAAAAACCTATATAAATCTTGACAAACAGAAAAGAGTGACTTCAACAGACAAAATCTAAATGGTTTCCTGAAGACATAGTGCAGAAAAAAATAAAATTCAAAAAAATTCAATAGAGGCAAAGGAAGGGCCTATTTAGAAGACAGCTTGAAGTGATCTTTTCAGTAAGTGTTGGAAATTCCATACTGAGAACAACTAGAGATGGGGAGGTTGAAATTTATGAATGTCTGGAATATTTCTAGCACATTTGGTGAGAAAGTTGCTCACCTAAATATCTGTTCTCTAGTCTTCACCTAGTGGCTCACATGCTATATAAAGCAGGGCTAACCTGACTTCAAAAGTTTTAGTTTGAGTTCCCATTACCATCTTTACTTGATCTGTGCTTGAAAATAAAGTTATGGCATTTAAAAAGTCTTTTAAAATAAAATAAAAACTAAATCCCAAAGCTCTTCGTATCATGTAGAAATAAGAAATATGTACAACAGATGGAAGAATTACAGAACATTTTATATTCTATAACTAGAAATGGCTGCGTTAGGTAAGTTGGTCTGTATATCTTTGTCTGAAATCATAATACCACTTCTTAGTACACATTTATTTAGTTTGTTATGGGTGGAAAATTTATTGTCCTCTCATGAAAAAAATATGACCTCTTTAAAGAAGTGAGAAAACAGAGAAAACTTAGAAGAAAATTGGTGAATGATATAGACAAACAATGTAAACTCTAAAGTCTAGTAATTACATGAAGAGATGCTTCAAAATCTTTATCAAGGCCAAGTGTTAGAGCAGATGAAGAGACAAAGAAATACACACACAGCTGATTAGAAAGTAAACTGGTGTAGCATTTTGGAGAAAAATCTGGTAAAAATGAAGTTCAAGTGTATCTTCTGTTTTAGTAATCCTGCTCCTAGGAATATTTCTCTAAGACATTTTTACACATTTGTAAGTTGACACACATGAAGATGTTGTCAGACGTTAAGTAATTGGAGACAATCTGGAGCTTCTTATGGGGAAAAGTGGTACTTAACCTATGTCAAATGAATAGTTCAGAGAATCATGCAGGTGCTAAATATTATGAGCTATTGAACATGAAGAAACAAAAATAATTCCTTAAATAATACTAAAAGGTAAAAATAAGTAATACAATGAAATCAACACAGTTTACATAATTAAAAATGATAGTATACCTAGAAGACCCCATTGCCTCAGCCCAAAAACTCCTGAAACTGATAAGCAACTTCAGCAAAGTCTCAGGATATAAAATCAATGTGCAAAAATCACAAGCATTTCTATACACCAATAACAGACTTAAAGAAAGCCAAATCAAGAACAAACTGCCATTCACAATTCCTACAAAAAGAATAAAATACCTTGGAATACAACTCACAAGGAATGTAAGGGACCTCTTCAAGGAAAACTACAAACCACTGCTCAATGAAATAAGAGAGGACACAAACAGATGGAGAAACATTCCAAATTCATGGTTAGGATGAATCAATATCGTGAAAATGGCTATACTGCCCAAAGTAATTTACAGAATCAACGCTATCCCCATCAAGCTACCATTGACTTTCTTCACAGAACTGGAAAAAACCACCATGAACTTCATATGGAACCAAAAGAGAGCCCGCATAGCCAAGTCAATTCTAAGCAAAAAGAACACAGCGGGGAGCATGACACTACCGGATTTCAAACTATACTACAAGGCTACAGTAATCAAAACAGCATGGTACTGGTACCAAAACAGAGATATAGACCAATGGAACAGAACAGAGGCATCGGAGGCAACACAACATATCTACAACCATACAATCTTTGATAAACCTGACAAAAACAAACAATGGGGAAAGGATTCCCTGTTTAATAAATGGTGTTGGGGAAACTGGCTAGCCATGTGCGGAAAGCAGAAACTGGACCCCTTCCTGACACCTTACACTAAAATTAACTCCAGATGGATTAAAGACTTAAACATAAGACCTGGCTCCATAAAAACCCTAGAAGGAAATCTAGGCAAAACCATCCAGGACGTAGGAGTAGGCAAGGACTTCATGAACAAAACACCAAAAGCATTGGCAACAAAAGCCAAAATAGACAAATGGGACCTAATCAAACTCCACAGCTTCTGCACAGCAAAAGAAACAGACACTAGAGTGAATCGGCAACCAACAGAATGGGAAAAAATTTTTGCAGTTTACCCATCTGACAAAGGGCTGATATCCAGAATTTACAAAGAACTCAAACAGATTTACAAGAAAAAAACAAACAAGCCCATTCAAAAATGGGCAAAGGATATGAACAGACACTTTACGAAAGAAGACATATATGAGGCCAACAATCATATGAAAAAATGCTCATCATCACTGGTCATCAGAGAGATGCAAATCAAAACCACACTGAGATACCATCTCATGCCAGTTAGAGTGGCGATCATTAAAAAATCTGGAGACAACAGATGCTGGGGAGGATGTGGAGAAAAAGGAACACTTTTACACTGTTGGTGGGAGTGTAAATTAGTTCAACCATTGTGGAAGACAGTGTGGCGATTCCTCAAGGCCTTAGAAATAGAAATTCCATTTGACCCAGCAATCCCATTACTGTGTATATATCCAAAGGACTATAAATCATTCTACTATAAGGACACATGCACACGAATGTTCATTGCAGCACTGTTTACAATAGCAAAGACCTGGAACCAACCCAAATGCCCATCGATGATAGACTGGACTGGGAAAATGTGGCACATATACACTATGGAATATTATGCAGCAATCAGAAATGATGAGTTCGTGTCGTTTGTAGGGACATGGATGAATCTGGAGAACATCATTCTCAGCAAACTGACACAAGAACAGAAAATGAAATACCGCATATTCTCACTCATAGGCAGGTGATGAAAAATGAGAACACATGGACGCAGGGAGGGGAGTACTAAACACTGGGGTCTATTGGGGGGAAAAGGGGAGGGCTAGTGGGGGCTGGGGGGCTGGGGAGGGATAGCCTGGGGAGAAATGCCAAATGTGGGTGAAGGGGGGTGGGGGAACTGGGGAGGGATAGCCTGGGGAGAAATGCCAAATGTGGGTGAAGGGGAGAAAGGAAGCAAAACACACTGCCACGTGTGTACCTACACAACTGTGTTGCATGTTCTGCACATGTACCCCAAAATCTAAAATGCAATAAAAAAAATTTAAAAAAAAAGTACATGTGTATGAAACAAAAGTACATGTTTTATAAAACACATAGAGAAAATATTTGTCAAATTAATTAGTGTATAGAAAAAAGGAGAATAAGTAAAATTAAAGGGAAATACATAAAAATAAATTTCAATATAGATTTAGATGTAAACATGTATTTTACAAAAACGTCCATGAAATTAGTGTTTTGATATTTGCTCTCTGAGTTGCCAATATGTTTATGTCTGTCCAAGGTTTGTTTATGACTTATTATTATAGTCGCAGCATGTGGATCTATTATTTTCTGTATAAAGTAGCTGTAGCATAATATTCTTAGATGAGTTTACATAGTATGTATAGTTCCTGACCCATAGTAAGTGTTTAATAAATGTTATATTTTATTATTATGGTCGTCTGTATAAGGACTCAGTTTGCCTAGTTTCCTTTAATTAATTAATTATTTATTTAGCTTTAGGTTCATACTATATCTGGCATTTCTCCCCATGTTATCCCTCCCCACCCCCTGCTGTCTCTACCCCAGCCCCCAAGTGCCCCCAGTGCGTGATGCTTCTCTCCCTGATGCCTAGTTTTCTTTTAGTCAACAAACAATGTTTTCTGAAGGTGTCTGTAACCACTGGTCTTTGATCTTCAACTCTTCTTATCCATATTAGCTGTGGATTGGCAGACCCTTTTGATTAATTCATTGCACTGCTGTCTTCATTATTTTGATGGCACCCTCCTCAAGTCCAAAAATTCACAGAAATTCGCCCGTTTACTTTTCCCTTTCCCATCCAAAACACACATG